GGAGTGTTGGAAAACGTGGGGTTACTGGTTCAGATCTGAAAATAGAATTGTATATATTCCTAGGATTGTGGAAGGATTGATTTAGAAATTTTTTTCTTTCTATTTCTTTCTTTCTATTTTTGTACTTTCTATTTTCTCTTCTTTCTTTTTTTTCTTCTTTCTATTTTCTTTTCTTTCTATTTTTCTTTCTTTCTATTTATTGCAGTAGCTTACTATATAAATATGCCCATTGGCAATAGAATGAAACATATCAGTATTCTACCATTCCAAAACAACAATGCTTATAACTTTCTTACCCTATGAGGGGTCACCTTTTTGAAGGTGGCAGTTGTAATTCTCATATTTAATGAAAGTTACCGTTTCCTATCAAAAAAAAAATGCTATTACAATGCCATATTATATGTTGATTGGTATAAACTTATTAAAAAGAGAATCTAATTTATCTCAACTTAGTACCTATTTATAAGTAGATGGTGGCTCCTTAAGAAAGTAGTGAAAGATAAAGCACAATTATGGGAAAAAACCCTAACCACCACATGAGAGGCCATTAACATGGTAAGAAGATGATTACATTGAACCACATACCAATAAAAAAAGAATTACATTGAACCACATGATCATATTATAAGAAATAAAAATGAAAACTGAAACATAAAGTTAACTACAGAAGAATATAAGCATCTTACTACTGCATCGAAAGTTGAATCAAAGTCATCAACTGCGAAACAAATATCTGGATAGGCAGGAACAGTTTCTGCTTCCTGAAAGACATTACTGAGGGAGTAATTTGGTTGATTCAGCACCAATAAAGTTCAGAAATAATGTAAGAATAAAAGAAAAAGGCTGCAACACAGGGGAGAAGGAAGAAGAGAAGAAAAGAGAAGAGAAGAGGAAGAAGAATGGAACACCAATCATGGGGTTCTTGAGGTCCCCACCTCCTTTTATACTAAGAATAAAATAAGAGCAGAAGTTGCATTTCTACGTTCAATGAGGCAGCAACAATAAACATAACAAAATAAGTGGCCCATGGACCCAATAATAAACACACTAATAGCCCACTAGTAGAACATAAAAAAGGAATAGCATAACAGGCTCAATAAATAAAAGCACATATCAGGCCTGTCAACAGAGTAGGCAGGGTGAATACAGAGAAGTGAAAATGTAAAAACACAAAACCACATTTCACCGGATGAATGGAGCAAAAGCACTGACCTTTTTTGAGTCCAGATGAAAATTAACCCGGCTTGGAGATGCATATACAGTTTTTACAACCTGTAAAGACATCTACCATTAAACATACGCAGCACAAATTCCAAACCTAACATTATATGCATTTGTAGGATGGTATCCCATTAACCTAACTGTGAACAAACACAATTTCTATCTACAAAAAAGGAACACTTAGTCTCTGTGACAAATTGAATGATGGTAGAATCAAAATTTATGCATCTAGCTGTTGCATAGCAGACCAATTAAGAAACATACAAAATGGGTCATCTTAGTAACATGGTACTCTATAGTGGGCCAATGGGTGAAGGAAATCCTTTGAGGGCTGAAACTCTTCCATGTCTACAAGGGTTCAAATCAGGGCTAGCATATCTGTGGACAGATTAATTGCTGAAGGGGATTGCCAAGTTGTAATTGATTGGTTATTGTTAGAAGAGAAACCTTTGAATCTTAGGCATTTCATATGAAAAGTTAGAATGCTGGTATCTCATATAAATTGATCACTCAATTGAGTACCTAGGGAAGGAGCGATTAGAGAAGAAATAATTTTGGGTTACCTGGTTCATGGAGGGATTTGTAAAATTGCATGGAAATCTGACAGCACATATCACTTTTGAATGAATGCTTTTAGCAGTTCTATTTCTAGTTCTTCATTCCTGAAACACATGAATAAATGGTATTCTGCTTTTATAATAACAAAGAAATTACCCAATGTTGGTTCCAGCTATCTAGGTTCTTGGGAGGGGTAGGCTGGATATGGACCTAACCCTTGGCATTTCATTTTCATGATGAATAAAATGCTATTCTATCGTTGCTGATAAAAAAACTATAAAAAGTGGCTATAAGAAGAATGAAAAAAAAATGAAAGCTGCAAGAAGCATAAAAAGGGTATTTACACACATGTAGAATAACATAAAATACTGATGTACAATAAAATCTAATTTGATTTAAGCTGTTGGGAACTCAACGCCTGAACTGGCAAACAGTAAGTGGCATACTGGTTTATTGTATACTAGCGAGGCCTTTAATTTATATCAGCAATCATGTTCTGAAGATACCTTATATATAGGAGATAATGGTGTGTCTGCTTCATTTTGATGATTGTGAAGAGCCTGAATACTGAAACACAACAAGAGACAAGAAAATCTTAATTCAGAAGGTCTTAGAGAGAAATAAGCTAGCATAAATTTTACTTAGCATGATGCTGCATTACTCAATAAAACAGAAGAAGGAAAGATACAGAAACAGTTTTGGATTGCAAGTCATAGGATATAATAGTTCTTTCTTTCTTTTAGATTTCTCAGGATAACATAGATGTATTGTAATAGGAAAACTATGTAACAAGTTAATGAAGGGGATATGCTCTAGCACCTTATTGCAATGATCAATGAACCTGTTGAGAATATGCATTTGGCTTAGGGGTATTGTTGTCTTTTCTGTTTTATGTATTTTGGGCGCCCTTATAGGGACATAACTGTAATTTCTATCTTAGTATATAATGAAATGTTTTGGGTGTGAACAGTAACACACCCATTCTCCCGTAATTTCTTCTTCTTCTTCCTACACCCAACAACTTGGTATCAGAGCAGGAAGAAATCTTGGACTAGGTTTCTCTTTCAACTCCCGAACCCAAGAAGACCCACTGATGTCAGACTGCCACCAGATGATGTCAGCAGACCGTACAGGTACTGGTGGCAACCCCTGAAACTGGATCTACTCCAGTGCGCCCTGATTTTAGGGTTATTTTGGTATGGTTGTTATCTTAATCTGATGTGTCTACAATTTTTCCCAGATTTTACAAACAGAAATTACAAAAAATTATTGGTTCGATGTTTAGATTTTTCCATCCTTGTCTGAGTTCAATGCTTGTTTGGAACTTGTTGGCTTTGGTTCGTTTGGCATCCCTGAAGGTATGGGAAGTGGTTCCATAATTTTATGACCTCTAATCTTGCTTCGGGAGGTCTTTTCCTCTTCATATATCGCCACCAGTTCAGTTTTGGGCCTCCCATTTTTTTGTGGATCTTGTGTGTCAAGATTTTTCCATCCTTGTCTGAGTTCAATGCTTGTTTGGAACTTGTTGGTTTTGGTTCATTTGGCATCCCTGAAGGTATGGGAAGTGGTTCCATAATTTTATGACCTCTAATCTTTCTTCGGGAGGTCTTTTCCTCTTCATATATTGCCGCCAGTTTAGTTTTGGGCCTCCCATTTTTTGTGGATCTTGTCTGTTTCGGTTGGTTGTTGGAGTGCAGTAGAACTGATAAAAGGCCTACCCAACTCAAATGGGTGTGCCTAAGGAGTTACAGACTATTTTGGAGTGCTTTCAGGTAATGTTGATGTCTCTAGTGGTATGATAACCACTACAAAACTTGATGGAACCAACTTCCTAGAGCGGTCTCAATCAGCCAAGCTTACTATAGGAGGTAGGGGTAAGCTGGGATTTATTACTGAGAGAGGGGAAGCCAAAACCTAATGACCCCAAACTTGCTAGATGGGAATAGGATAATTCCTTGGCTATGTCATGGTTGGTGTGTTTGATGCAGCCACATATTGCCCGCAACTACATGTTCCTCTACATTGCCAAGGATATCTGGGATCATGTTACAACCACATACTCTTAGGCAAAAAATATAGCTCAAGTCTACCAACTCCGAAGAGAAGCTTGTAATATGCGTCAAGGGGAGAGGACTGTAGCCATGTACTTCTCTTCTTTGCAGTCTCTATGGAAAGAAATTGACCATTTGGAGAACTTGGAAGGGAAGAACCCTGAGGACAGTGAGCAGTATCGGAAGTATGTTGAGAAGAATCGAATTTTTGACTTCTTGGCTAGATTGAATGGTGAGTATGATTTTACTCGATAGCGTATTTTGAGTGCAAATATTGTTTCTCTTGCTACTGCATACTCCTTAGTGCAGGGGAAGGAGAGTAGAAGGGTTGCCATGATGCAGACCTCAGTGATGGATCATTCTGCCTACATGGTGTTAATGAAAAGCATGATGATGTGGTATGCGATTACTGCAAGAAGTCGAGACATACGAAGGACGTGTTGGAAATGGAATCCACATTTGAAGCCTGACAAGTTTAAAACAACAAAGAAGGTAATACTCATCTTGCTACTGTTGGAGCTAATTGCCCTCCTAATGTACAAGGTCCCACACATGATTCCTTTGATTTGATGGAGAAGCTCAGGATTTTATTGACTCAGCTTGAGAGGTTTGTGTCCTCTGCCTTTATTGGTTCTAGTAATCCTTCTAGTGCTTTTGCAAAAACAGGTACTGCACTTATCAACCTTCTCCTACTAGCTCTTGGATTGTGGACTTTGGAACTAGTGCACATATGATTGGTATGCCTTCCCACTTTACCTCTTATAAATTGGCTCCAGGGGAAGGAAAAATCATTGTAGTTGATGGATCTCAGATCCCAATCTCTGGTCTGGGGGAAGTTAAGCTTACTCATGATCTTTTGTTGATCTTTGTCCTTCATGTTCCCCAATTGTACAAGAATCTTTTATCTATTAGCACTCTTACCAAATCCCATAACTATTCAGTGACCTTTTTCTCTTCTCATTGTGTTTTCAGGACATGAGAACGGGGAGGACAATTGGAACTAAACATGAAGCTAATGGAGTTTTACCTTTTTAATCAAACCTCGAAGCAAGGATTATTGTGACAGACTGAGTCATGCCAAGATGAAAATTTGAGTCTTTTGAAGTTGTGGCATTGTCACCTCGGTCATGTGTCGTTTAAGTCCATTAAGTTTTTGTTTCCAAACTTATGTCATCCTATGTCTAGTTTGGGTATGCAATGTGAAGTTTGTCATCTCTCAAAACAATGTAGAACTATATATCCTGCAAGTAATAGGAATGATGTTGCTTTCAACTTGATAAACACTGATGTTTGGGACCCATACTCTATTCCATGTATGGGTGGCTATAAATATTTTATACCATTCATTGATGATTACTCTAGATATACTTGGCTATACCTGATGAAGAGTAGAGATGAAGTTCTTGCCATTGTTCAAAGCTTCTTCAAGATGGTGGAAACACAATTTGAAAAGCACATCAAGATAATAAGGTCTGACAATGCTAAGAAGTATTTTGAAAAGCATCTACGACTATTCCTTGAAGGAAAGGGAGCAATTCATCAAAGCTCATGTTCTCATACTCCGCAACAAAATGGTACAGTAGAGAAGTGGCTAGAGGTCTACTCTTCCAGATGCATGTACTAACTCATCTCCATAAGGTCCTCCTCCAAATCCCCCAAAATTTCGAGGATTCTTCGATACTTGTCCTAGGAGAAGCCCTTACCTATTTGATTTTTTATAAAGTCTTTGATCTTGTTTAGGACTATAACATAGATAGTCCAATAGAGCGAGTTCCTTCACGATCCCTTTCTCTTCAATCCCCTCATCAGCTTTTGTTTTCCTAAGGATCCTATTTTCAGTCTGCCTCTCAAAGTCTTTAGTTGTAGCTACCTTGTTCATGACATGAGTCCTCGTCTGAAACTTGACCCTAAATCTATCAAATGCATATTTTTGGGCTACTCTCCAGTCCAAAAGGGGTACAAGTGCTTTGATCCCCACTCTGGTCGAAGGTATGTGATGATGCATGATCTGGTCACTCTTTGCTGGAAGGCAGCTTGAACGTTGGTCTACTGCGTGGCCGGTCGAACTGCAAGAAAATAGTATTAAAGGTCTTGGGGTACTTTACCCAGTGTGGGCACTCTGATGCTTAAGTTAGCGAATTTGAAGTTTTTAGAGAGAGCAGAAAGCAAGATTGCTAGTATTTGAGATCATAGTTGATATTGGGGGAGAATACTGGAAGCATATCGTGAATGGCTTTCCAAGGAGAAAAGCTTGTGGTCCTAGCTTTGATTCCAGCATCCCAACCATTGTGCTCCAACCCATGTATACTTGCCACTATTCT